TCAAACTGCTCGTGTTGGGTTTAGTTTAGTTTAGTTTAGTTTAGTTTTGTTTTCCATCTTGTTCTAGGATTTGAACTAAGAGTCTCATACTTCCTTGGTTTGCTTACTTAACTGGTGTTCTACCAAGAGGAAAGCCATGCCTCCAGCTTGGCTTTTTACTGGCTAATTGGAGACAGTCTTTTGAATTTGTCTGCTTGGGCTGGCTTTGAACCTCTATTCTCAAATCTCAGCCTCCTTGATAGCTAAGAGTACAGCCACTGACACCTGGCCTGCTTGTTTAGTGTCATATTCAGGATTGGAAATCTAATCTTTGAGAAATAAAATCACAGATGTTTGGGTTTCAGAATACACTGGATCCTTCTCTAGGCTCCAGCAAGTTCCTTCTGCCACTCAGACTCTGGGTCCAATCTCAAGTCGAGAGTGGAGGGACTCAATGCTTTGGGAATTGGGAAGAAGTTCTGGTTCCTTTTCAGTAGCGTGTGTACGCGCACGCACGTGTGTGTGCACACACATGTGCATATTCATACCTGTACACAAAATTTGCATTTGACCTCAAAGCTGGGATGGCTGGTCTGAAAAGAAGGGAAGTCCTATGTGGGTCCACCACATTGACCTGAACCTTAGACCAAAAGTGTATTGTTAAGTTGTATACTGAACAAGGGTTCCTGGCAGAAATCCATCCATAGTTAGATGTTGCAGCCTGGTGTCTTGAGTCTTCATAGGGCACATCCCTAATTCCCATTTTCACATCCCCTCTCAACTCAGACTAGCAGCAGTGATGGAGTTATGGAACTGATACTCATTATTGTTGGAGAGCTGCTGATGTTCTGTATAGTAAAGTCTGTCACTAAAGCCAGAGTAACAAACCCCACAGCCCTTACTCACTGATGTTTGGCTCCTGATGTTCCCAGAACCCTGAGCTTTTATCAGCAGTGGTTGAAGATTGCCCCTATGGAAAGCTCTGAGAGGGACGGGAATTTGGAATGGGGATAGAGGAGGTGGGGAGGAAGCAGCCAGACCTACCACCCCACATTTGGTAGGCCTGTTTGTGCACTGTCACCCCAGGAGCCTGGCAGTACCCCAGGGCTAGACTATGGGCCCTAGAGATAGGCCTGACCTATAATGCAGGATATAGCTTTGCTGATTGGATGGATGGATGAGTGGATGGATGGAAGTGTGAGTGACTGAAGCAGCTGATACTTGATCACAAGGCTTTCAGCAGTTGTGTATCTGGGCAGGGGGCAGGACAGGAGTTATTGACAAGGAATTATGTGCTGAGGCAGGAATTGGAGCAGACTGGCAGGGCGAGTTGGCATTTCCTGTTTGCCAAGACTGCAGAGGACACCACCCTGACCTGACTATGTTCGGCCTGGCTGAGGGACAGTAGGGCCAGACATGGAGTCTAGGTAGGGCAGGGTAGCATCCATGAGGACAAAGTTCCCCACAATGAAGAGAGTCTCCACCTGAGGCCCCATCCCCTCAAAGGGGCTGGGCTTCTGTCCCTCCTACATGGACACGGCCTCCTCAAGGACCTTTCATCCTGGGAGACGCTGAAAATGGTGGGTATCCTATATCCCATAAAGCTGTCTCAGGGCAGCCTCTCAGTTTCTACCCATGGACCCCCAAGCCAGAAGAGAGGGAGCCCTAGGACCCTTGTCATCACCCTCAGCTATGCCTGGGTCACTTGTTCTCTGATGAGGCCCTGTGCCCCCCCCCCCCCATATCCTCTCAAACTGTCCACTCTTGTTTGTAGGCCCTTCCCCACCCAGACCTCTGTCTCTCAGTAGTGGTCAGTTACCAGGGAGGGGCCCTTTGACCTGGTATAGCCCTCCATCCTTTGGATCTTAGCCTGGGTCCCAGCCGCTGTGGAGGGCCAGATGGTCTCCCAGGGGGGCTTTGTGGGTTGTTCAATGGCCAGTAGTTGGGTGTGTCTTTTTCTGGTTCCCAGAGTCACTGGGCACTGGAGCCTGGGAACCTTGTGCCCATTATGGGGCCTGGCATTATGCTAAGGATGCCCAACCATAGCATGAGGACTGAGTGAGTGAAGAATAGATGGGCAAGACAGCTGGAAGTGAGGGAGGAGGGAAGTCTTATGTTTATGCTTCTACCCCTCTGCCCTCGTTACCCAGTGAGGCCTGAATCCACTCTGCCTCCACCTGGACCTTCATTTCCTGAGAACCCACCATGTGCTAGCTGTCCTAAGTATACAGGATGTAGTGTGACAGGACAGACACACATCCTTCCCTTTTCAAGTCAGTGCTGGGGTACGTGACACAGACACAAGCCGCCTACAGTTAGGAATAAAGCAGAAAGTGACTGGGCCAGGCACATCGCATATAGACAGCAGCGGGCTCTGCCTGGGGTAGGGCTGTGTCCAGGCCTCAGTCCTCTTGTGCAGTGGGGAGCAGACTCCCAGCTTGGGGTGAGAATGGTCCCTGGTTATAATGATTGTCATCTTTATCAACATGCTCACAGCCCTTCAGAGTTTGTGGCCCTCTCCTGTGCTCCCAGAGGTATCCTACAGAGCATCGAGCCTGTCTGCTAGGATCTAGTATGCTGACTTTGTCGGGATAGCCCAGGGCAGGGCTTAAAGCAAGGATGGGGAGACCTCCTCGGCTGAGGAGGGAGGCAGGGAGACCCTCAGGCCAGATATACCCCCTTTACAGATGAAAGCAACTATGGAAGTGAAGAGCACCATTTGGGAATGGGGAACCCAGCGTGGGACTGGCTTGCCTTGGACCTGGGGGGAGTCAGTGTGGCTGCAGAGGAGAGAAGGAGAAAGAAAGGCCATGTGAAGAGTAGGAGAGAGCACACCCTCAGCCAGGCCAGGCTTGGAGGGAGGACAGGTAGACAGCAGGGCTGTGAGGATGGACAGGAAGCACAGTGCTGAATGGCAGCTCTGGCCACAGTGGGCACTGGTTATGTGTGAGTCCTGCCATGGTGGCTGCTGGCCTGTTTTTATGGGGAAGACCCCCTATTCCCTGTACACATAGGAACACACACAGACACACACACACACACACAGACACACAGACACACACACACACACACATACACACACACACACACTTGCAGCTGGGTGGAGGGAAGTTGGGGCTTGCATTTTGCTTCCTCATGCCTGTAATCAGCCCCACACAGCCCCCGCCGCAGGCGCCCATCACAGCCGCTTCCGGACTACTTGAGATACACCTGCTCGGCTAAAAGCAGAGGCAGTAATCCATCACAACAACCCCAGGCGCTGGCGGGAGGGGCTGGCTTGTTTTTCCCTCCCGTAGGCCTGGAAAGCATGGGGCAACCATAGCCTCTTGAGGTCCTGGCATCCCTGGGCTCAGGGGCTTCACCCCATCAGGCCTCGGTTTCCCCAACTTGTCAAAGGTACCAGGGATGAGCTTCCAGCTCCTGCCTTTAGGCCTCCTCCCTCACCCCCACTCCATCTCTCCCTTTCCAGAGACATTATAAATCAAACGGCTTAGAACGTAAGGCATCAAAAATTCTGAAACCTTCATCTATTATTAACGCTGACAGTAAATTCCCCCTCCGAGCGTTTTACATAGCAACTGTTACCAAGACTCGTGGTGGAGCTGCGCTCCAGCCACCACATCCCAGCAGCTCCAGGCGGATGGCAGGCCTGTTGCCCAGCCTTACGGGCCAGGCCACCACCTGGGCACCTGCCAGGCTTTCTCTGGGGATGGGTGGGGAAGGAACCTCTTGGCCAGGGAAACAGTTGGCTTCCTGCTGAAAGGGGTCCTAGCTGCATTTGCTGAAGCCTGTGGGAGGATCCTGACAGACCCCAGTTCCAGGCCAGAGAGGAAAGAGAGGCCCTGGAGCCGCTGGGCCCTTCCAAGGCAGTGCTGTGGGCAGGCATGGGATCCTGGAGCCTCCTCTGGCGAGAGGAGGCTTGTGAGAGGGAGGACAGAAAAAGGCTTTGTAAACTGTAAAGGGCTGTGCAGATGTTGTTTACCATCTCACCCACCTGTCAGCTAGACGTTCCCGAGTGCCTGTTTGTCTGCAGGCAATCTCTGGGCACTGGGGGATTTAGAACAAAGACAAAAAGTCTAGCCCCTGTGGTGTCCGGTTTGTATAGGAGACCAACCAGAGACATGTCAACCCCTAATTGTAGTGGAGCACCATAATCAATGTGCTCACCAGGAACCCCCACGGGGAGGAAGGAAGGGAAGGGTCTCCACAGGGGGCTGATATATGGGCAGGGTTTTGAAGAATGAATAAGGGAGGATGTTCTGAACAGAGGGTCCAGTGTGTACAGAGGAGAGGCCGAGGGGCAGGAAGGAGCTCAGCACACTGCTGGTTTGCAGGCTGACCTGTTTTGGTGGAGAGGGGACTGGAAGAAGGGGAAGAGATAAGAGAGTGCAAGAGTTTGAATGCAAAAGCAAGAGACATTTGTTTGAAGGCCATGGGAGGTTCCATACTAGGGTGGAACTAGGTCAGAGTTTGATTAGGGAAGACATGTCAACATGGTTTCAGCCTCTGAATGCAATGTCTAGGGACCCCAGTTGGGGGCAGTTAATGCACAAATGCTGTATTATTATCATCATCATCATTGCCTTCTTTGCACAGATGAGGTAAGAGTCCTGCAGAGATGATAATACCTACTGAGGCACTGTTATTAGGCACTTGCCCATATTGGGCAGGGAGGTACAACCTCTGGTCTTCGGGCTGGTGAAGAGCCCGTGGGCAGTGACTCTCCACAGCTCCAGAGAACAAAACACAAATAGACTCTCAACTTCTGCCCAGCCACAGAGTGCCCACTGCCAGACCCTGCCCAGAGATGAATAAATTAGCAAACAAGTCCTTAGAAAATTAGACTTCCCCTACCATCCCTTCAAAACCAGGTCACCTTGGGGGCCTGGCCCCCACCACTCCAGAAGTGAGGGGCGGGGCTGTTTTTAACAGAGAGCAATGTTCTTCCTGCTGTACCCTTAGGGACCTGCTTTTCTCCCCTTACTCATTTGGGGACATCCCCATGTCCTTGTATATTTCAGAGTAAGGGATGCCAAGAGCCATGTGACCCAGAAGGGACCCAGCTGACCCAGAATACCTAGTGCTCATTTCAGAGAGCGCAGACAGGTCTGTTTGGCCAGCATCCTGCCCTGCACTGAGCACAGAGACTGGTGCCCTGTGGGAAAGAAGTGCATGCCCATTCTGAAGGTGAGCAAGCAGAAATTGAATACAGTCATTTGGGTCTGGGTTAAGCAGAACCAAAAGCTTAGGACATTCAAGGGTGGGGGATAGTAAGGCATCCAAGGAAGGCTTCCTGGAGGAGGAATCTGGAATATCAAATAAGGCAGATGAATATGTACTTGTTTATGCTACTTCCCAAAGCCAAATCTGCTAATGGCTATCAGAACCCTGTGCTGGGTGGCAATCTGTCTCAGCCATTACAGAGATCTAGAGAGTAATGGGCTCAGCCAGTGTCCCTCTCCCTTCTGGGAACTCCTAGACTCAAGGTTGAGAGCTACTCAGCTTCTTGCCTTGGGTTTGTTCTTGAAAAAGACTTCATGTGCCTAGTACTGAGGGACAGACACAGAGACCTGCCATGTGGCCTGGGCCTCCTGTTCTTCAGCGACTACATGGTGACCCAAGCCCTCTCTAGGATTGCCTGAAGCTGGTATTCACTGTGCACATGCCAGAGCCCTGGGCTTAAGGTTCAACTTAGAGAAAGCACTCATCCACCCTGGCCCAGAGAGGTACCAGGTAGATATTCTTAGTTCTTGGCCAAAGAATTTGGGTAGAACATCTGCCTTGCAAGGGATTTTGTGTGTACGTATGTGTCTGAACTGGGGCTTAGACTCAGGGCCTTGTCCATTAGCTGCCCTTTAGCTTTCTTGTTCAAAGGTAGTACTCTCCTACTGGAGCTACAACTCCACTTCTGGTGGTTTATTAGAGATAGGAGGCTCCAGACTTTTCTGCCCAGGCTGGCTTTGAACCATGATCCTCAGATCTCAGCCTTCTAGGTAGCTAAGATTACAAGTATGAGCCTCCAGCACCCATTTTAGGGAAGGATTTAAGGGGGAAGCAGTTTGGTCAGTAGATCTAGGGATGGCAATAGGAGGTCAAGAGAGAAGCCTAGCAGGTGTCACCTTGCCCACACCCCCAGGGACATTCTAGAACCTCCTAGAACTGGTGACAGGGCAGCTCATCACAGCGGAACTACCTGTATGTTAGACTCAGATTTGGGTTCAGTTTCATCTCTTCCACTTCCTGGCTGTGTGACCTTGAGCTGGTTCCTCATACTCTCTGTGCTCTAGGTCCTCATCTCTACGTTGAGGGCAATGATTATACAGTGTCAGCTTGAGGGTGACCCATTTGTGCAACTCAGCAACTGACAACTGAATGCTATTCTTGTCTTTCCCACTCAGGTACAGGGAGAGGGGGGGTGACAGATCCTTTGTGATCTCTTAGGTCCCTGACTTATGTGCAGCCACCAGATCTTGCCTTTGGAGCCTTAGACACCTGCCACTCACCACCCAACATATTCTTTCTCTCCCCCCTTTCTCCCCCCCCCCCCCCCCCGCCACCTGCCAGGCTACTAGAATTTGAACTCAGGCCTCATACTTGCTCAGCATGCTTGGCTAGTGTTTCACTACTTGAGTCAGGCCTCCAGTCAGCCTGGGTTTTTGCTGATTAATTGGAAATAGACTTTCTACCTGTGCTGACTTTGAACCTGCATCTCAGTCTCCTAAGTAGCTAAAATTACAGGCATTAGCTATTGGTGCTTAGCTAGCATTCTCTTTTTCTGAGTGTTTGCTATGTGCTAGTCACTGGCTATGCTGAGAGTGAGACCACTGGGAGACCACCATTACAGACTGAGATCCTCACAGTGCCCAGGGCCTCAGGAAATGAAGGTGGCAAAGAATCTAGGATCGGCATCTGCTGGAAAATCATGGTGAGATTGAAAGGAGGTGACCCCTGTGTAGAGATGACAAGTGCATTTTGCCAGGCAAACGGTGGGGGTGGGGCAAGCAGGGGAAGGGCTGTCAGGTAATCCTAGGACCACAGCCCCAGCAGGTACAGAGGTTGGAGCTCTGAGAAGCTTCTTGTAGGTTTGTGCACCAGATGTGAAGTCAGGAGCTAGGAAGGTGTGTAGGAGCCGCCTGTAGATGACAGGGACCAGTGCCCATGAGGTGGGAAATTAGGGAATGAACTGAGAGGGAGAAAAATGGTGGGGATTGACGACTCAGGTGGAGCTGGTATAGAGAAGAGAGCCCAGGGTCCTGTGGCCAGAGCCAGGAATTCTTAAGCCTGAGTGCTGCTTGGAGACAGCTATATAAACTGCTGTGTATGTACCCTGCTCTCAGTCACTATTCCATTGAGGCAAATGAGAACTAAGTAAGTAAATAAATACCCCAAACAGTAGATTTGGGAGATCGGTGGACTACGGCAGAGTGATTTTTTTTAGGGGGTATCCAGGGAGGGCTTCTGGAGGAGGAGGCAGCTTTTAGCTGATGAGAAGATCCAGGAGCAGGAGCCTAGGCAGAGGGAACAGTATGTACAAGGTCTTAGCCTATCTGAGGAGCCAGAGTGATTGCAGCATGAAGAGAAGGGTAAAATGTTGTCTCCCTTCGCCAGCAGAAAGGGAGCCACTAGCTTAGCTTTCCAGTATGACTTTGAGCAAGTGGCTCATCCTCTCTGAGCTTCTGAGCAATGCAGCCCAGAGGAAAGTGGTACACTTTCTTGGAACCCTCCCAGCTGGGACCAGCAAGGGTTTGCCTTAACCAGTTTTGCACCATGGCAGAGTTTTGGGGAAAAGGACAGGTGGAGACCAATGCAGCAGAACCAAGAGCCCTGGGACATAAGACATGCTGGGGACTCATGCCACTTCATTCCTTGATGTGTCCTAGATTTTCTCCCTACCTCCACCCCCCTCCTGTTCACCAGCTAGAAGCCAGAGGCTCCTGCAGGGCTGGCTGGATGGCTAGTGGCTGGGAAAGGCCACGTGGAAACCCTTCCGCTCCTGCTCCTGGAGGTTCCCACTTATGAGTTTGTAGCTGGGATTCCAAGGACCGTGCTGAGGCAGGATCATTTGTCACTCAGGCTGCATCTGAGGCCTTTCCGGGGGTGGGGGGGTGACTGGGGGGAGGGGAATGTTCTTTCCCTGGGATTCCAACGCCCATGATCCAAAACAGGCTGATCCAAGGTGCTGTTTCCCCAGGAAAATGCTGTGATCCTCCTTGCTTCCCCTGAGTCAAGTAGGAGGCCTCTCTTGAGAGGGAAGAATCCCTTAGAAACACAGGGAGGAAGGAGGGGTCCAAGCTGTTGCTATACTTTCTGAGCATGGTGGCCTGTAGAGCTGCGGAAGTGTGGAGGGAACTGGAGACTATGGGGAGGGATCCAGGAGGCAGTGCTGATGTGCACACTTGTGACAGCCCCTCCCCCACCCCTACACACACAGGCTTTGTGGTCAAGAGCAAGAGCTGCCTCTGAAGTCAAGAGCCTGGGCCCTTGCTGTTCTATGGAAGCCTCAGCAGGAGAAATGAGATGGGGTAGGGGCAAGGAAAGATGATGGGTTCTGGGACATCAGACACTCAGTGCAGCTCCGAGATGCTGTAAGGTCCCAGCCAGTCTAGAGCAACAGATCCATGCAGTTCACAGCCAAAATATTCCTATTTTCCCAAAGCCAGAGAAGTCATCAAGATCAGGCCCCCAAGAGCCTTTCAAAGACAGTTGTACTAGTCAGGAAGTGCTTGGTGTGCTACATAACAGACACCCCCAAGTGCCAGCTCTTTCACAAGCGTGCTGGGTGTCAGCAATGGCATCAGGAGACTGACTGCTCACTGATGTCACCCAGGGCTTGGGCAGGCAGATGGAGCAGCAGCCATCTGAAGTGTCTGCCTGTGACAGGCAGGCATATGAATGTCTAGAGAGCTTCCTCCCTAGTCATCTGCACGAATTCCAGTGACCAAAGCAGCCTACCTGGCCATGTCTAGCCATTTGGCTGCCATTGGCTGAGGAGAACAGGAAATATTTGGGGGTGATGCTGAGTGGGGCACCCAGATGGAGCTGATTCCATCCTTACCCTGAGCAAAGCTAGGAGTTAGTAGAGGAGCCTGGGCTCTCCTATGTTTTACTTTTTTTTTTTGTCTGTCATGGGGCCTGAACTCTGGGCCTGGATGCTGTCCCTCAGCTCTTTAGCTCAAGGATAGCACTCTACCACTTGAGTCACAGTGCCACTTCTGGCTTTTTCTGATTATATGGTGCTGAGAAATCAAACCCAGGGCCTCATGCATGCAAGGCAAGCACTCTACCACTGAGCTACCTTCCCAGCCCTGTGTTTTACTTTCTGAAGGGAGAGCTTGCTGGAGATTAAACCAGGAGCATCATATATACTCTGACACCCCTATCCAATTTTATTTTAAAAGTTTTTTTTTAAATTTTTTTTTGGGGGGGTCCGGTCATGGGGCCTGAACTCTGGGCCCGGGCACTGTCCCTCAGCATTTCAGCTCAAGGCTAGCACTCTACCACTTGAGCCACAGTTCCACTTCCAGCTTTTTTCTTTTTTGCTTATATGAATTGAACCCAGGGCCTCATGCATGCAATGCAAGCACTCTACCACTGAGCCACCTTCCCAGCCCCAGATTTTTTTTTAAATTTTTGTTTGTTTGTTTTGCCATTCCTGGGGCTTGAACTCCAGCCCTGGACACTGTTCCTGAGCTTTTTTGTTCAAGGCTAGCGCTCTACCACTTGAACCATAACTCCACTTCTAGTTCTTTTTTGTGGTTAATTGTAGATGAGTTTTTTTTTTTTTTTTTGGGGGGGGGTCTGGTCATGGGGCCTGAACTCTGGGCCTGGGCGCTGTCCCTCAGCTCTTCAGCTCAAGGCTAGCACTCTACCACTTGAGCCACAGAACCACTTCCAGCTTTTTTTTTTTTCTGCTTATGTGGTGCTGAGGAATTGAACCCAGGGCCTCAAGCATGCAAGGCAGGAGCTCTACCACTGAGCCACCTTCCCAGCCCATAGATAAGAGTCTTATAGACTTTCCTGACCAGGCTGGTTTGGAACCATGATCCTCAGATCTCAGCCTCCTGAGTAGCTAGGATTATTGGCATGAGCTACTGGCTCCAGTCAGTCTTACTTTTATAACTTTTTTTTCCCCTTGCATGTGCTGAGATTTTAATTCAGGCCCTCACACTTGCTCCAGTTGAGCTGGC